GATGTCAGACTTTGGCTCTACTCAACTTTCCAGAGAAGCCTCAGCTAAGGGATCCCACTCTCTAGTGCCCCCCAAGTCTCTTTCCCCTCCTACTCGATCCTGGTTTCCAAGGTGGTCAGGACTCCCGAGTTTTTGGTTGGACTCCTGACTGATGCCCAGGAGCCCACCCAGGGAGCTTGATTCCAAGGCCACCTCTTGGAGGATGCATGCATCGTCACTGGCACGGAGGGCACAGCTGGTCTGGTGGCCTCTTCTCTTCTCTGGCCCGGCACACGGTACATGCACCAACTGTGCAACAGTCCAGGCTGGCCCTCTGACTTACTGGCCCTGAGGTGCCCTAAGTGAGCACTTATCATGCTCAGCACTGCCAGGATGATCTCATCTAATCTTCTTAACTAACATCCCTGTGTTGTTCACGGGCCAAGTCGTGTCCGACTCTTTTCGACCCCACGGACTGCAGCCTGCCAGGCTTCCCTATCCCTCACCATCTCCCGGAGTTTGCCCAAGTTCATGTCCATTGAATCAGTGATGATTCAATATCCCTGCGAGGCAGGTCTCACCTTCCCATGTTTCAGATGAGGAAGTTGAGGCGCAGGGAGGCATGTGCTTTGCTCTTTATGGCACAAATTATAAAAGCTGAACATGGAGCTAGGACCCAGGGTTTTCTTTCCCCTCCGGCACAACGTTACTGGTTCTGCTGTGGCCAACACACTGCCTCCCTTCTCCCCAGCTCCCTCTCTGCTCCCTTCCTTCTTCTCTCTGGTAAACTAGGATTCAGGGATTGTGACCTTCCTGTCAGCTTCTTTCTCCTGCCTCCAGTCCTCACTCAATCAGATTTCAAAAGATTAAGGAAAAGACATAAGAAAGCAAGAGTCAGAAAGAGAAGGCAAAGAAGGCAAGCGCCGCACTGGGAAAGAAGGAAGGTGAGTGCCAGAGGGAGAGGAGGCCTGTGCCCAGATGAGAGGGCACAGGCAGGTCTCCATTGTGTGGGCACAAAGGGGCCATATGCCTGGCAGCCTACACCGTGCGCGTGCATGTGTGTGTGTGTGTGTGTGCACGTGTGCATGTGCGAGCGTGTACACGTGCATGTGTGTGCGTGTGCGCGCGCGCGTGTGTACACGTGCATGTGTGTGTGTGCACGTGTGCGTGTGTGCGCGCGCGTGTGTACACGTGTGTGTGTGTGTGCACGTGTGCGTGTGTGCGCGCGCGTGTGTACACGTGCATGTGTGTGCGTGTGCGCGTGTGTGTGTGTGTGTGTGAGGGGAGGAGGGCAGGAGTGGCGAAGAGGTCCCCTTCATTCTCTCAAACCCCCGAGGCCCTGCTGTCTGTCGCCAGGGGTGGAGTTTACTGACACCGGGGCAGAGGGGAGTAATTATGACAGACAGCACGGGCGGGCCCAGGCTGGAGGAAACCGGGGATGGAAGAGCCCTTGGAAAGCTGAACGGGGTGGGGCTGCATGGGAAGGGGCTGCAGGAGGAAGGGGTAAGTAAGACCCATTTGCCAGGTGCCTCCAAACCACCCCTCCACACCCACTGGCCCCACGTGCTGCATGCTGGAGGCTGTGAAATGAGGACCCCCAGATGCTTCCTCTAAAACCTTCCATCCGCCCTCCTCCCTGAATGTTAGCCCCGGAGTGCTCTCTCTCCCCTCACCCAGGGACTTCTACCTCCCTGACAGTCTCCTCTCCCAGGGCCTGGCCCCCTGCTCCCTTCCCCCTCGCACTCCCACCTCCTTCATCTCCAGTCCCGGGGAGCAGAGCGGCAGCGAGGCCAATTGATTATCTGAAGAAATTCGGAGCTAGCAGGAGAACAGCTGCGGCTGCCTCCTCTCACCACCCCCAGGCCCTCGGGGATCCTTGAGAGGAGGGGCCCAGTAACCCCTTCTGCTTTCCAGCGGGACAAAGTGTTGAGAGAGAGGCAGGGCGCTCAGGGGACGGAGGTTGCTGTGCCGGGGAAAGCACAAAGCCCTCGGGGCCAGGAATGGAAGACACTGGTTCTAAATCCACCCTCGTGGAGGAGTTCCATCACCTTTGCATTTTACCTGCTTTTTAAACAAGGGTGTTGGAGTCAGCAAATTCTGTGTTCCCTTCCAGCCCTGGCCCCTTGTAGTCCTCAGAGTCTCCCTGGTCTCTGTTCAGCCCTCCCTCTTGCCAGGCTCTAGGCAGAGCACATTTCATACACATCAGATGGGAAGAGAAGATGTCAGCCTCCTCCTCTATGGGAGTTCCTACCTGAGTCTAACTCAAACGGCTCCTGCTTCTGATGTCATTCTTTGCCCATCAGAGATGAAAACAGTCCCCATCAGGTGCGGAAGGACACCCCAGCATTTTCCACCCAGTGTTGGGACCTTATGGTTGAAAAGGATCTTCAAGTTTACCTAGCCAGTGGTTCATCTCTGCAGGAATGGCTCACTGGTAATTCTGCCTTTTTGGACTCCTCCTCCTTCAGGCAGGCACTCCCACTGCTGGACAGCTCCAGATGTTGCAAAGTTTTTTGGTGTTAAAAGTCTGTTTCCTGTCATTTCCATCTGCTGGTCTTCATTCTGCCTCCTGGGGCCTCACAGAATGTCTGTTTTTGTTTTTCTCTCAATATTTGAAGATGGGCATCCTGCTGTCCCTAAATGCACACGTAAAGGGCTTCCTCCTCGGTGGCTCAAACGGTAAAGAATCTGCCGGCAATGCAAGAGACCTGGATTGTTCAATGGGTTCAATCCCTGGGTTGGAAGATCCCTTGGAGAAGGAAATGGCTACCCACTCCAGTACTCTGGCCTGGAAAACTCCATGGACAGAGGAGCTGGCGGGCTACCGTCCATGGGGTCACAAAAGTTGGACACAGCTGAGCAACATTCACTTTCTCTACACTTGTAAAGACACATATCCTCAGTTTCCCACCTGTCCCTTCTGTGAAGTTACTTCCAGGCTTCACAGAAGTGAAGTGTGTGCTGCCGTCTTGACCACACAACTCTGAATACTCTCTAGTCTATCAAAGTTCCTGTTAAAATAGGAGTCCCTAGAGCACCACCTGGCAGGCTGGGTCACTTCAGAGAAGCAGAGAGGTATGGGCAGTATAGGACACGAAACAATCTGGGTTTGAACTTCCTCTCTTCCCCTAACCAGCTGTGTGACTGTGGGCTCTTGTCTTCTCTGGACTCCAGTTCCCTCGTCTCTAGGGTAACTTTAGAGCTGCTCCCCGGACTCCTCTGAGATTCCTTCAGCTCTCCTTTGTATCCCGGCCCCTATTTCCCTCTTAGTCCCAGGTGCTCCACTGTGTTCTTTCCTGTATCCAAAGCTGAGGAACACAAAATGGGCCAAGAACTGTGACTGCAAGGAATTGTGACCCAGCTCAGAGGCAATAATGCTTCATAGCCATGGCGTGAATGGATGCACAGCCCAGTAGCAGGGACCCACAGACACATGTTTAACACGGGTTCCACTGGGACACTCGGCTCCTTCTCTGATCCACAGAGAGCAGGAGCAGAAGCACATCAGAAGAGTCAGAAAGTGTCCCTGGATGGGTATCAAGATGGAGGTACTCCACTTTAGGTGGAGGAGCCTGGGACCTGCTACACACTCCCCTGCACACGCTGGCATCCCTCTTCTCTCTTTTTTAATTTTCCCACCATAATGAGCTCTCGTGACCCCATGAGAAGTCTCCAAAGCTTGGGACCCTCAATGCCTGCCCTACCATAACCTGCAATCCAGCGTCCCAACCCAGTCGAATGATCCACAGCCGTACCTGGTGCTAGAATGAGGTCACTTTAATTTTTCCTTGTATATGAAATCAGAACTGCAACAGGAGGGACTCACACACGGGACACAGGCCCCTAAGGGCCCACTGTTGGGGAGGGCTTCTTAGGAAGAAGTGAGGATCCCGGGGAGGGCTGGGAAGAGCAAAGAAGCAGGCAGGACTGGGCTGGGATTGCCTGGGGATGGAGGGAACTGACGGAGGGCCCAGGAGCACTGGGAGGGTAAAGGGGGTATCATCCCAGAGGGTTAGGGTGTCAGGACAGATGGATCCAGGAGGGGATACGGGTGTGGTGAGGGAAAGGGATCCCCCACACACCTGGAGTTGCAGAAGGAACGAGAAAGGGACGGGAATAACCAGGGAGGAAGTAAGAGAGGCCAGGCGAGGGCTGCCAGGAGCCTCCTCACTCTATCCCAAAGTGCACGACTCGGCAATAAATAGCAATATTTATAAATAAATAAGTAAATAAATAGACGAATAAATAAATAAATACGTACATAAATAACATCCTTGTAGAGCTAGGAGTTTGGTGTGAGGGAGGTGGAACATGGGAAGTGTGGGACTGCATCTCTTCTACACGGGTTCTCCAGCCCTTCATTCTGCCACTGACCCCAGCTAGTGAGCAGGTGGGCTCAGAAATGTGGTGGTGGGGGGCGGATGGTGGAGACAACAGGGCCTCAAGGAGGGGTGGGGTAGGGGTCTCTCCCCTGCTAAAAGCAGCTTAAGGAAAGAGAAAAAAATACAATGAACAAGTCATGGGGCAGAAGAGCTGAGCTTTCCCGGAGGGCAAAAACAGGGCATAACCCCTGGATCTGACAGAGTGGGTTTCTCACATCTTTGTGGTGGGCGGGGAAGGAGGAAGCAGATCCAGCCCACCCACTGCCAGGCCTTTTGCAGATACTCTGGGCTGAGTCTGGGGACACACTCTCCTACCCCAAGATCTAGGTTTCCCTTTCTCTAGCTGAACACAAGGAAGAAGCAAACTGGGATGGTTGGGTGGAAGGGGAAGGGAGAAGGCCAAATAGCTCAGAGAGGGCAAGGCACTCACCACCTAGTAAGAGGTCTGTATAAGCTAAGCCTCAGGAAAGAGAGAGAAAACAGGGAGTTTTCCCACAATTCCCAGCTACTGAGATGCCCCTCAGAGGAGTTAACTCCCCGAGCCCCTGCCTCCCAGAGCTAGACTGAGATGCTTGAGAAAAAGCCCACCCCACTCCAATCCCAGCCTTCCCCTTCCTGTTCCCATGCCCCCTCCCTACTATGGGCAGGAGAAGCTGGGGCGGGGTAGAACCGAGGGTGGGAGGCAGAGTTGGGGTCTGGGGAGGGGGCGGGGAAGTCTCTGAAAATTTGGGACTAGGAGTAGGAAAGGCAGCAGCCCATGAGCGAGCCAAGGGGCAGACGCCAAGACTATACCCGCCAGCCCGGCAAACGTTTCTAACCAGTGGGGCCCCGACCACGACCCGTGGAAGGTACCCACGAGAGGAGCCCTCCGGGGGCCTGGGTGAGTCAGAGAAAGTCGCCTTCATGTGGGCACTCTGCCCGGCCCGCGCCCGGCCCGTGGGTACATGCCATGCCGAGGTGCGGGGGCTCAGGAAGGAGAGGCCGTTCTAAGCAGAGAGCGGGTGAGCAGGGAGCCCGGCGAGGCGCGGGGCAGACGGGTGGACCCAGGGGGAGGCAGGCCGTGTTCACACGTCCAGCACGTGGTTCAGGTAGGAGATGTAGCAGATGGCCAGGCGCAGGATCTCAATCTTGGAAAGCTTCTTGTCGGGGGGCAGCGTGGGCAGCAGCTTGCGCAGCTCGGCGAAGGCCAGGTTGAAGGCTTCCACACGGATCCGTTCCCGCGTAGCGTGGGCCGTGCGGTACTTGGCCGTGGCGCGCCGCCGGCGCCGGCGCTCCTCGCGGCTCAAGTGCTGCAGGTCTTTCCGGCCCGGCTCTGCGGGCTCCAGGCCCCGGGCCGGGCCCCCTCGCTGCCCCCCGGGCCCCACCCCGTCGGGGCCCGCCCCGCCCCCACAGTCGCTGAAGCCGGACTCGGCCTCCGAGTGGGTGAGGGGCAGGTCCAGCTCCATGGTGTCTGAGTTGAGCATCATGATGGATGCCCCCCGCCCCGTGAGCCCAGGACCCCCTCCCCACCCCTCCCTCTGGGAGCCTGAAAGCTGGCGGCGGGAGGGGCAGGAAGGGCCTGGGGTGGGGAGGTCTCCACTGAACTCAGGAAGTCGGAGCCGCGTCAGGGTTCCATGGTCAGGGCTCTGGTCGGGAGTCTGGAGGAAAGAAGGGGAAATGAATACGGTCAGAAGCGGGAAGGAGGGGACAGCTCAGAGGTGGGGAGCCGGGAGGAAGGTTTAAGGTGGGCTGGGAGCGGGGAGGTACTGTAAGCTTGCGGAAAGGACAGCAGAAATTTTCATGGGGTGGGTGGGGAGCAAGAGAGGGGAGCAGGTGGCCACAGTGTAAAGACCTAAGAGAAAGCTGGAAAGAAGGGAGGAGACCCAGAAAGTCAGCAACAGGAAAGGAGGAGAACCCATGAGAAGAATACAGGGCAGGATAAAACTGAGCAAGAGGATTAAAGACCTACCTGTAGGACCTAACGCTGTAGCTCCTAGAAGCAAAGGCAGGGGAAAAACGTCATGACAGTGGACTTGGCAATGATTTCTCACATATGACACCAAAAGAACAAGTAACAAAAGCAGAAATAGACAAATGGGACTACATCAAATTTAAAAGTCGCCTGTGCATCAAAGGACACAATCAGCAGACTGAAAAGGCAACAGGAGAGAATATTTGCAAATAATATGGATGATAAAGGATTAATATCCAGAGTATTACAAAGAATTCCCACAGTTCAATGAAAAAAAGAAAAAAACTTGACCAAGACATGGGCAAAGGACTTGAAGACATTTCTCCAAAGATGATATACAAATGGCCAGCAAACATAAGAAAAGATGATCAACATCACTAATCATCAGAGAAATACAAATCAGAATCACAATCAGATGTAACCTCACACTTGTTAGGATGATTATTGTCAAACACACACACACATAACAGGATAGGGGGAAATTGGGACACTTTGCCCTATTGGTGGGATTGTAAAATGGTGCAACTGTTATGGAAAGAGTATGCAGTTTCCTTTAAAAATTAAAAATAGAAGTACCACATGATCTCGCAATCCCACTTCTATGTATATGTCCAAGAAAATCGAAATCAGGATCTTGAACAGATATCTGCACCGCCATGTTCACTGTAGCATTATTCACAATAACCAAATATGGAAACAACCCAAATGTCCATCAAAAGATGCATGGATTAAACAATGTGGCATATACTCACAATAGAATATTATTCAGCCTTAAAAGGGAAGAAAAGCCTATCACCAATACTACAATATGGAAGAAACTTGAGGACATTATGCTAAGTGAAATAAATCAGTTGCAAAAATACAAATATTATATGATTCCACTTCTATGATGTATCTAAGTAGTTAACAGAAAGTAGAAGCAGAAAGTAAAATGATGCTTCAGAGTCTGAGGCCAGGAGTAGAGGAGGTATTGCTAAAAAGTTACAGAGTTTCAGGTTTACAAGATGAAAAAGTTTGGGAGCTCTGTTTCACAACAATGTGAATATACTTAACATTACTGAACCATACACTTAAAATTTCTAATTTTATGTTATGTGTTTTTATCACAATAAAAAAAAATGTTTAATAATTAAAAGGACAGAGGACTGAGCAAGACTGGAACCACGGCTCCAAGAGAGATGGGCTGTGGCTCTAAAACTCTCCCAGTTGTGAGGGAACGTTGCAAGCCTTGGCCCTGCCATCCCCTCCCTCCCAGGGCCCGTCTCCACCCTGGCTGCTTCTGTATGTGTGTGTGGAGGGGTGCGGGTGATAACACGCAGACTGCCCTTTGTAGAGTGGACTGGGGCATACGGAGCTCAGCACCACTACCCAGTTCAACCCCTCCCAGCCCCCAAGCCCCACACGACAGGACCGTAGCAGACGTCAGATCCTACCACCCTGACCACTAGAATCAGGGGGATGTAGTCCCCCCCGCCCAGGACAGCCCCTTCCTCCAGCCCTGTCATCAACACTCAACCTTGCCGTTCCTTGGCCCTTTTGGCAACTGTGTAAGGAAGACTGGGGAAAGGGAATGTAATCAACTCTCCATTCCACACCCTCCCCCAGCTTAAGGGCAGTTCAGAGATGGTCTGCAGAGGAGGATGGGATAGCTTTTGGGGACCTCTGTTTGGGGCTTGGCTAAGGTTTGCTTGTCTCTGGGAGAAGAGGAGGTCAGGGATAGGCAGCTGGAACATGGCCCAGGAAAGGCTGAGGAAAGGGCTTCGCTCTGGGGGAATGTCAAGCCGGAACAGCGAATCACTCATTGGGGGCTCTGCGGACTTAACTTCCAGAAACAGAGGCACAGAGGCTCCTTCGCCATCACCGTCTCCCCTTCCTCGCCAGCCTGAGTTCTCCTGCCTGAAGCAGACCTTCACAGGGTCAGGACTCCCCAGCCTTGCCCCGCCCCACCATGCAGAAAAGAGGCTCAACTGAATAGTTCACTAACAGTAAGCTCTGAGGATTGAGGGGTGTGAGATCATCACCATCTGATACATGTACACACACAACCATAACAAAAAACACAAGGAGGTGAGTGCTAAAATTTAGGACACACTCCATACTCCAGGATTCAAAGGAACAAGAAAAGAATGCATGGCGATAGCATAGGAGGCCCTGAAGTCAGCACCTCCCAATATGTTTAGTGCTGCAACTCCCCACTCCCATGCTCCAGGAGTTCAGCTGCCGGGTTCTCCACATCGATCACAGCCTGCTTCTCCCTCTCCCTAGTCCCCACATTCCTTCATCCCTGATCACTTTACCCTTCCTTCCCCCAACCCACTCCATCTGCTCCCGATCTGACCCCAGTCCCATGTCCACCTGCCCCGCTGTCCTCCCCGACTCCAGTCTGCACGGCAGCGTCTGTTTACCCATCAAGTCAGTCCTCACCCCAAAAGCCACTTCTGCTGTCAAAGTTCCAGGCTCCGAAGATCTGCAGTTCCAAGCATCTGGGGAAGGACTTCCTGCCCCGCTTCTGCCATCCCCAGCCCAACTGAGAATGACAGGCACAAAGAGTCCAAGGGGAGAAGTGGGTAAGAGGGAGGTCCAGGGATGGAGAGAGACGCAGCGCGAGACAGAACTGGAGGGAGGCTCTGGGAGGGGACTTGAGCCAGAGAGTGGGAGGGACACGCCCAGCCTTCCCAGCCCATGGTTTCCCCCTTTACCTAGGAGGACCCTGTGAGGGGATCCAAACTGGCAGGACAGGGGGCCGCGCGGACAGCCCCAGTCTCCTCTGGCTGCTCAGAGCTCATCCGTCTGCAAAGTTACTGACCAGCTTTCTAGACCTCTCCAGGGCAGCGTGGCCGGGCTGCACAGGCTCCGGGGTAGACGAGAGAGGTACACATGTTGGGGATAGAGGGCCCAGGTGGAGGTGGTGAGCTTAGCCAGGTCACTGGGGCCACCCACTCTCACATGCACGAACACACTCACAGACACACACCTGAGCTGGCCCAGCCCTATGTATATATATGGAGATACACACACACACCCCCAGCTCCCCATTGGCTGGCCCAGCCCCCCTTTCTCATCAATATTAAACAGTCAGGCCAGGCAGCCATTGGCAGAGAGATCTGGGAACCCCCTGGGAGCGGGGGGCGGGGGCTGGCCCTGGGGGGGGGCTGGGAGTGGGGGAGCAGGGACATCTGTTCTCCATGCATATTTCATAAGCAAGAAATGGAGAGCTGGGGAAGGGGTGGGGCTGGGGCGAGAGCCAGGGCAGGATCACAGATGAACCCCCTCAGTCTCTCACACCAGAGGCGGCAGGGACAGAGGCCCCTGGCAAGCCAGGTTAAACCATGGTCCCATCCTGAGTCCCAGCTGGACTGTGCTAGCCCCTTCCCCTGTCTCCTTTTCCCTGGGAAAAAGGCTCCCCAAGGCACTAACAGGGAAGTCTAGAAAAGAGCAAGTGGACAGCACTAAAGCACAGAAGAGGACCCTAGAGTCCTTACGCTCACCAAGATCTCATTCTTCGTAAAGCTGGTTCCCACCAGCCCCCTTGCCAGGCTACCTGTGGCTACTGTTCAGGCCCCTGCCCTCATCACCCCTGGGATTCACCACACCCTCCCAGCTCCCAGCCTCCCACCTACCCCATCACCAGAGGAGGAGTGGGGTCAGATGCCTGACACAGATCCTACAAAGAGTTTTTCTAGGCTGGCTGGCCCAGTTGGACCCACTGAGAATTGGGGACTCTCAGGAGGAAAGAGGCAAGGCTAAATGGAGCAGAGCGCAGGAGTGCCAAGAGAGGAGGAACCGGGGTGGGAAGGACACTGGGGGAGGGGGGCAGGGCACCCAAGCAGGCGTCAAGCATGCTGGGGCATCAGATGAGCAATGCGGAAAACCAGCTATAAAATAATATGCAAATGGGCATTGATTAAGTTCACATCAGTAGCTCAGCTGCCTCCAGCCTGCGTGTGCATGTATGTGCGTATCTGAGGGTGTGTGTATCTGTGATGCAGGGTGGCAGGAGCAGGGAGCAAGGGAAGCCCCACAGAGAGGCAGCAGGCTA